ACACAATAAGCCAGATTTAAACTTAGAGACTGCATTTAGTAAATTCTCAATGGCTAAAAGGAATGTACTGACATTATTTGCCAAAAGCAGAGGTTGTCAGAGACAGACTTATTTAATTAGATTACGTAAGCCATTTTGTACTAAATGTCCACTGCTGCTCAACTAATCACCAGGTGAACTGGAGATCCACTCTGTGTGATCGTGGGCAGGCTGAGAGGGGTCACTGCCCTTTTCCACTGTGTAATAGCTTGTTACAGTCCAGCGCGTGGCTCCTGTCCTCAGCCCACATTCCAAAGTGAAGGGAAGACACTACTCCTCCAGGTCAGGCCAACTCTCTGGTGGGAATTGTGCGACATGTCGACTAAAAATGGCTTTAAAAACCACACGAGGAACCTTTATTTTACTTGATTACCTCCTTTGTTTTCTATAGCGCGTAACATGGTTTCTCGGGACACCCTCAGCTCCTCATCCCCTCCGTGAATTTCCAGAGGTTGTAGCCGAAAAGCCAAGTCGCAATTTCAAATCTTTTATTAACAACATATCCACCTTGCACTTGTGGTGAAGAGGGTCCTCTCAACGAATTATCTTCCTGTAACAACTCAGGTACCTATTGTCAGGAGTGAGAAAGCTCTACAGCCGGAACATTGTAAAGCTCATTTTATCTTAAAATAGCGCAAAATAGCATGGTCAAAAGAAAGGGACCCAGAAAAATGCAATCTAGGTCAGTGGTTCACTAGGATAAATGTTTTTCCAAACGCGAGTTTGCATTCTATTATCGCTGAAGAGTTTGATGACTGCTTGGTCACACACAGACAAAATAACAGCTGCATCCTCCAAGCTTACCCTATAGCACTTAATAACCCACACTATATGTCTACGCACAACCCCTTTAAATAGCCACTTTGAGCATCATGTGTTGATGCAAACAGGTAGTGTTGAAGTGCATTGTTAAAACAATCTGAGAAATTCTTAGTATCTTAGGAAGGAGTTATTGGATATCCTACTATCTGCGTTTATCAGCACAGATACATTCATAATGAATAAAGAATACTAATTATTAACTCATATGGGGAAAAATAACTGCCAAAAATCTCCAGGTCTAAATATGGAAGATAATTGACGCTTGGAAAATGTAATATTACTCTGTAAAATTACTCTCCATCCAAAGAGACTGTCAGAGAGTAGGAGGTTAACTACGCATCAAAATCTGCTGTTACTGTACATGGAACTTTATAATAAGATCTCACTTTTAGATCTCAAGCAAAGATGGGTTACCCAGCCTGCTAGAACGCTAAAGGACTACACTGTGTACAAAAACACTCAAGATATGATGCAATGTCAAAACTGAATTACGATCAGCAGTCTCAAAGGAGATCAAGTTTCAAACGTTGGTCCGTATGAGGCAGGGCATCTGATCCTGAGATTTTAAAGAAGGCATGTGAGAGGTCAAGACTTTAAGCTCTTAAATACGGTTATGTGCAAAAGAATTTACAAAACTAAAAACAAATACACATGAGATTGACCCAATAATAAAGGAAAAATGTGTCTGCGTAGCAAGGGCATTAGTTTGCCCTCTCTGGGACACTGTACAAGAAACCTCTGAGGAAATTACAAAGTCAGGCAAAAATCCTTCACCCCAGGCTGGATAATGTCAGATGCCAACAGCGTTTTCCCCTCTTGCTTCTGAGTCCAAAGCCAAGCTCATAGGGTGAAGGCTCTTTATTTTGTAATGTGTATTACAATCCATTAATGAACAGGCCAACAGAAGAACAAGAACAAAAACAGAATTAGAGCCGGGTGCCGGATTCATACATGTTTCTATAGGGTTACTTTGAATAAAATCTGGGTTACCATATCCATTTTTCAGTGCGAAAGATCTGTCCTTGGCCTGCAAAACACAATAAAATTAAATGGCTCTCCAAAGCTGCAACACGTTACAATAAAGCACTAGTGGATTCACATGTACGAATACGAAAAAGCAGTGCATTTATCTATAGTGGCACTGTACAAGATTACCAACAGATATCCACCCACATACTGTATGTGGATTTCTTTCACGTCAAAATCTGTTACTGCTTTATCGGCGCAGCTTGACCTCTTTCCTTAAAAACCAACCCCTCCACCCCCAGCTCTGGGCTTTCAACCTTTTCTATACAATACAGGCGTGATAAAACCGACTGACCCCCCTTTTTCAGGGGTGGTCCTTACGTGAAGGGCCCTGTTCTCACAGGAAACTGTGCTGTTTATGAATACTGTGATAAACATTTCAGAAAACAAGCTGTGTTTCAGTTTAAGTAATTCTATTATTATTATTCTTACATTCTTTTTTCCCCCAAGTATTTTTGTTCTGTGGCAAGGTCTAAAAGCGATCTTTCTGGTCACTGCCACGTTATCTATCTATGTTATAGTTACAGCACGCGCTCAACTTCACTGAAAGTTATTCATTATACTGGACCTATACCACAAGAAGGTGAATCAATGTGCCAGAAACAAAAAAGCTAGCTGCAAATTTCGGTCCTCTAAAACGAGAATTATTTCTGCTTCTGTTACTGTTTAATATTATTATTAAAAATAATAATAACCCTCTTCATTCACTGAGTCTCTAAAGTCTATTCCATGCTAACGGTGTTAATCCTTTTCACAGTGGTATCTATCAGAAGCAGCCCGGTGACTCATTAAACTTTGATGGAATGTTTTCTTTCTGATTCAGTTTCCATGTAGGCATTGCGCTAACGAGCTCTGCTGTCTGTGGTCACTCTCGGGTGGCCTGTTATGCTGTCAGAGGGAGCTTCAGTCAGGGATGCAGGATGAGGGAGTGGTGGAGAGATTGTACAATGCCTGGGTGCTGATGAAAGAAACAAGATCTACGACAAACAGTTTGCAGCTTTGGGACAGCGGGGCTGGACTACACTTGAACGACGCAAATGCAGGGTGTACGTGCAGCAATAACGCGTGATAATTGTATCTGCCTTACGGTGTTCAAACTGCCTCACTGCCTGTTCAGTGTGAATTTCCACAGGCGGGCTGTATTACTCTACTAGTGTTATTCAGAAAGAAAAAAAAGCTTTTCAGCCAACGATGCATATGATCAATGTTTATGATTTAGGCTCTGTAAGTGTTGTAATTTAATAGGGCTGAAATGTTCACAGGAAAAAAAGAATGCAAGAACATATGCAAACAAAAGCGTGGGTGTCCTTCATATGTAATTCATCATTCCAATATAGAGGGTGGCAATTCTTTTATTTGTAGCTTCCTGTTCCTTTCGTGTTCGTATCTAGACAGAAAATAAAACACTCGTTTTCAGCAGAAGACACAGTGGGCAGAAACAGTTTACACCCCAGTACTGTTTAAACGAGAACTGTATCTAGCACTGACGATGCACACACAAGACAGGGTGGAATGTGTACAAGGGACTCAGTACAAACTCCAGTCCGTGGTTTATTTTGCAGTTTTCAGTCCTTACCACGTGACTGAACTGTTGGTCACACTCCTCTCTCAGTGTGGTATCATCAGAGGGCTTTAGATTTCAAGGTAAAATTTAAGGCTCCACTGGCTAAAACATGGCTTAGTTCGACCTCTTGAGTCTTTCCTTGTCTAAATTATGCATTAACGTTTCCTACAGATCTTCAGCTTTCCAGGACCTACTTATATCATGTATGTACTATACATCAAAAGACTTCCTTTATACTTATAAGATAACAAACGCAAAATGCTTTATAGGGTTCCATTGAATAACTGCACGTAACCTCTAAATACATAGCTGTAAGCTTGTGACCAGTGCCATCACTGCCCCTTCAAAAAGCACCAGGTGCATGCTACAGATTAACACAACAAGGGAAGATGATAGGGGGTTAAAATGACTGAAGATGCCATTAGGAAACTACACTTGTTCAAAGTAACTCACCATACTGTAAGTGCATCATTGCTAAGTGCCCGCTGTTCCTTATTACTCCTCTCAAAAGATGTTGCACATGAGGTTTTTTTCCTCCTGACTGCCGGAATGTAATACACTGGCCTTTTCGATACGTCTTCATCAATCTTAATTTAAAGTAAACTTCTCCAGACAGAAAAGGTCCACTTTCACCTTTTTTCACACCGTAAAAGGTCCTTTTCCTGATTTTATTTCAAAATTTGGAATCACCTCTTTTGTTTCACATAGCCACTTGATTTTTTGCTTTATTTTTCACACATCTTGGTGGGATATCTTTCAAACCCTGCGACCGCACACAGGGGAAAATGACAAAGTGTAGGCTCCAAATTCTTCCAACCCGCCCACTTTCAAGCCACTCTTCTTTTAACATGTCACCACAAACAATTACCTAATTGATCGCTGCCACTTGGGGAGTCCTGGTCACAGTTAAACTAGTGATATGACTCAGGTTTGAACCTGCGATCGTAGAGCTCAATCTGTGCTCAGACAAACCTTACTTTTTAATAACATATAAAGTCAAACAAAGTACTTTAGATTACAGATATTATGGACAGGCAACTCCTCTAGTCTGGATTCCAGGTGTGATCAAAATTATTACTCATCTAATTACTTGGATCACAGGTGTTAATAAACTGACTTCTTTCAGATCTGTATCAGTTGCTAATTAAGAACTACCTGTAAATCCCGCAGTATATCCCGTCATCCATCATAAAACACAGCTGCATGTCCATAGGTGAGAAAAGAGATTCTGCAAATCATCCGACACAACCTCATAACCTTAAAGCCTGATCACAAGCACTTCACTGCACTTTACTGCTGTTGAAAAACAAAATTGTGCAAAGAGTCTCCATGGGGCAGTTCACCTGTGGGGAAGACGCGAGCAAAAAGATGACCTATGCTGTAATCAGTTTGGGGGAAAGTTGCTTTTAAAAAGTGATACTTCACAGTTACTTGAGTAAGGGGACTACTTTGTAAATTAATAAGAAGCAAGGGGTACTTTTTTTAAGAGTAAATGGATTACTTTACGCAACGCTGGTCATGTCACCAGACTCCGAAATCAGACCCTTACCTAAGAAGGTTCCGGTGAATCCGAGGGCGTAGAAGCTGCTGAGGACAAAGACAGAGCCGATAAACACCAGGATGGCACCAGCATAAAACATCTCTGACCTCTCCATCAGCTCGGCCTTAGGCTGTGAATTCATAGCCATGGTAAAACTGAAAGCATAAAAGAAGATCACCACAAAAATTAGGATGGAAAGATAGGCCTACAAGCAGCACATCACACCCCTTGCTTTGTGCAGCAAGTTGTTCTTGTTTGGGTTTCACTGAGCTTTAAAATATATTACTTATCTGTTTCCTGAAATGAACATTTTCCACTCTCACTTTTATAAGGATCCCTATAAAATTCTGACCCCTGAACACTGAAAACCTCCTTTCAGACAGTTTTTTCTGAACGCTGAACAAAATTAATGGATTACTTTATTTAATGTGACTCTTGCTGCTATGTTGCTTATCTTATTTGATGCTCATGCTAACACAAACCTTCTCTGTTCTATGATTATCTGTTGAGGTTTTGTGCTTAGATGACATTCCATTAAATCTTGCAGCAAAAAGAAAATAAAGCAAAACACACCCCTTCTGAGAAGACGCCTGAATTTCCTGTGGTGACGCAGCGATTCGGAGTGATTATAAAGGCTTTTCTTGAAGCGGACACAGAAAAAGTTCAAAGCTGCACAATTACCTGTTTTAACTCTTTCACCTATAGCCTTCTCCTGGACATGTTCTTGTTCTGCTGAGATCAGTTATACTTTAATTCATGTAAAAGGTATTTAGGCATGCTGGTAGGAAACAAGAAGCTCTGCTCTGATGTTAATTCAGTTCACCTGTTTCTGAATGTTTTTGCTTACAGTTTGTGCTACAAGGATATATAAAGAAGAGCTGAACATCCAACTCACTCCATGTCTCCTGGTGGGAAGATAATTATTATAAGTACAGGTTGTATGATGAACAAATGATTCATGAGAGATTTGCCTATATTGTACATCACTTTAAATAAACAGGCAATACTGAAACCTAACCCTAGATTATATGTGGTTGCACCAGCCGAGTTCCTGATTTCAGTATTCTCTTTGAGGCATGTCTTTAAATTTGATTTGGAGTCCTTAAACAGAGAATGGGATTTGGAACTGGCCTCATTCAGGTGTGATGCCTGAAATGTAACCTGCTGCACTTCAGCAGAAAGAAGGAAAAAAAAGACTTCTTACATAAGGGAGAAAACTCTCACTACACCCAGTGAAGAGAGAATACATAAGGAGCTGTATGTTAAAGTTATTGGAAACCCTGTTAAGCTGAGCAATTAGATCAATTAAAGGCATTAATTAGCATCAGTGATTAAGAATTCTGCTAGAAAGAAAACCAGCAGACACGTAGATTCCCTAGGCACAGGGCTAAAAAGCAGTGAACAAAATCTAATAAATATTTTCCATTACACTTTATTTCTGCATATTAAATATGAGATGACAGTGATTAAGTGGGCAATGGGATTTAGTTGGATGACAGTGAGACCAGAGGTTTTTAATTTCACACTTGATATCTTCATAAAGACAGAAAAGGTGTTGGGGATAGAATTGAACTTCAAAAGTTCAATCTGTGTAAAAATGAAGTAGCTCAATAAGCAAGGTTGTTGGTTTTTTACTTTCTGTGCCATTTCCAACCCCTCTCTTATAAACAAGCAACGTGGCTCTGTGATGTCACTTCCTTACGTCAGCTCGTTAAAAACCAACGCTCTCGAAACAAGATCTGTGCCTGACGAGGCTTGAATGCCGGTCCCGGCCCTTCACGATTATGATCAAAATCCGTCTATAAAAAAGGCTTAATGTGGCTGTATTTTCTGGCACAACTGCAAAAAATTATGAATCAATTTTCTTTTTCTTTTACATCTCTGGCCTCAAGATGATTTGACTTTGACACCCACAACTAGATTACAGTAAACGCTGGCCTTTTCATCTGAAGAAAAGCTGTTGCTGGATACAAAATGGATGACAAGGCAAGATATAACCAGACACTGATTTAGGCAACACCAATGTATACTTCCAGCTCAACATAGGTTCTCAGAGTCATAAGAGGTCATTATGTCAGTTCATCCAAACTTAAAGCACAGAATCTGAGAATACGGTACTGTATGTCGTCAGTCAGTGGTAAATTCCGAAAAAATAAAATGTGTTCATTCAGTTCTCCAAAATAATTTTAGACAGAGATAGTGACACATTTGAAGTTGCCAGAAATATTACCCTGCATTTCTGACTTCATAATACAGGTGTGCGACTTAGAAATACATTTTATTTTTATTTTGCTGAGAGACTAAAAGCAAGGGGAAGGAGAATACAGTTTTGTATTGTAACCTCATACAGTAAGCATGAAAAGAGAACTGTCTGAGATGTCTTTAGAGCAGCACGGTGATGAACCAAGGATACGTACAATCACAATTTCAATTACCGGCATTAGAGTAACAATTTACAGTATTTATGGTGAAGTCGAGAAATATTTCACAAGCTTGAAACAAAACTCGTTCCCGTGAAGAGCACTTGAGACATTCTGTTTTGTGAGACCACTCCTGGGAGAAAAAAAAACATCCTTCCTCTAGTCACACTGACATCACACTGTTTAAAAAATGCCTTGTTGTGGAGGTCACAAAAAACTTTACTTGAGATAAAGTTTGCAAAACAAAATGTCTCCAGGCTTAAACTGAAAGGTTATCAGCTGATAACTGTCATCGTTACAAGGCAACAGCTATCGGCGGCAGACAATTGAGATAGCCTGTCTTGTGCTGCCTGTGTGGACAAGAGTCAATTTATTAACTCCAATGCTTTGCGATGTTATTTCAAGCTATGGTATGGAAAATAAAATTTTGGTTATCCTGCAGTTTTCAGTAATATCTGTGAGCGCGAAATATCAGCTGGCTCTGAGAAGTACTTAAAGGGGAACTGCAGTGCAATTTTTTTTGTATTTGGGGGTTAGAATCAGCATTGACAAGTGCATTTCAAACCACAGTGAAAGTAAAATGCTAGGAATGTGTATAACCTCCACTTTACATCACAAAATAGACTCAATTTCCAGCTATGCGCCATGTTCTGAGATTCAGAATGAGGCAACAAAACTTACAGTGATGGGAAGTGGCCCTGTGACATTGTAGACAAGCGGGCTTGTGAATACATCTCTTTTAGTCCAATAGAAATATTGCTCTCAACTTCGAGACGGTTTTGCCGACAAATACAACTTACTTTTTAACACTGCACGCAGATGACTTTGGCCAAATTTCTGCAGTGAAATATCTTCTGACAACCTGTAGTTATTCTCTCATACATCGTGTTACATTGGTCCCTACAGTGACTTGTGAGTAGGAAGGGCTGCCTCACGTCGCAATTTGGGCAAAGTCTCGCTCGCACCCGTGGTGAGACCAGGAGTTTGCGACAACATGGCAGCTGACAGTACTTTCACAAAGGTCATGATTTTGTGCTTAATTTGAAATTTGTCAAATGTTTCTAGCACGTCAAATAATTTATTTTGAGACTGAGATTGAATAACTGGTCTGAGAAACTGGGACAGCAGGTCCCTTGTTAATGGGAATAGAGCTGACTAATGCCGTATCTAGTTGTGGGCATTTTCAACAAAGGACACAAACACAACTACACTTTAACAGATGGAAACGCCATTCTTGAGGTGATAAAAATCAACACCAAATAAAACCCTTACTTTGCTTATGTTTTCCCACCCTTTGGAGATTTGTGCCTTCTTCACCAGGTACCAACATAGTACTGGAAGTGACCTATTTCTCTCAGCTCTCTCAAGCTGAAAGTGGGACACCTTTCATAATCCTCCACTTCCTCTCACCCGGATCCACTGGAACAAACTGGGGCAACTTCACTTTAGCTAACTCCCATAAACAGGGTGGAAATAAAGCATTAGTTAGTGCACTTACAGTAATAACAATATCAGATTTCTGATACACACATTAGTCATTTGTACTACAAGGCATTATTTCTGTTCATTCTCACACTAGGACTGTAAATAAAGAGGAAAAGATCAGAAAAATGAGCAGCAGTTATATAAAAAAAAACAGATGTGTTGAGCTCACAACAATAGATTTATATTTTGACCTACTTACTTGTGACCTGACCTTATGACTAACCCATCTATGTGGCAGGTAGAAAAATGAAAAAGTAATATTCGAGACTTGAGATGTCACTAAGTGATAAGGCTGTCTGCAGAAAATGTGAAACTTTCAATAACAAGACACGTCTATTCAGGTCAATACAAATGCAGCTAACAAGGCATCTGTATGGGTCTATGGAGGTGGAAAACACTTATTCAGGTTTACTAATTTAATAGTGACTCATAATTAAGTGATCATAAAGTTGACTCCATGATTCCTCGATGTGTTTGCTGAGGCTCACTACACTCAAATATTTTAATTTTTCTTTTGGGAGTGTCACTGATTTTCAGAACATTCCAGTAAGGTACTGAAAGTGCAAATGAATTAATGAATCACCTTAACTAGCAGTCCACCTTTCTACATGAGATTAACTGTTTCTTAGAAGGCTCAATGTGGTTCTTTCAAGGAAAAAGAAAACCTTACATTATCAGTCAATACGAAGGCATATCAGCCACTGTGCAATTTTCTCTTCTTTGCTAACAGTGACATTTTTCTGCAACTCACAAAATACTCCAGAAATTGTTTCTGTTTCAGAAGCACTGAGAAACTGTGTTTTACATATACAGCAGGAAACAAAATGCTTCTAAAGCTTGTCTCTGACCTTTTTTTAAGTGTTTAGTGACCATCTGAAAGCTCAAAGACTATTCCTGGAAAGCAAAGAGACTGAGTGAGTGAAATGAGTCGATAGCCATTGACGAGGTGTGAGTTAAAAGCATCAGCAGAAATGAGTCCTGGGTCCGAATTATCATTAGATATCATTGTGTTACTTCTCCATTGTGTTACTACTCCTTCAGCTTGCTGCACATGCAAAGTTGAAGTTAGCAGCTGCAGATGGCTGTTTTGCCCTTAATCGGGCTCATCCACTTACATTGCAACCTTTTTACATCACAGATGTAAGTACATAGACATATAGATGTCTATACATGGCATAAAAAATGTACTTTTCCACTGAACCAACAACTGACAGCCAAGTGAGAAACAAACGCGTGACTTAGCTCTTTCC